AGAGAGAGAGAGAGAGAGAGAGAGAGAGAGAGAGAGAGAGAGAGAGAGAGAGAGAGAGAGAGAGAGAGAGAGAGAGAGAGATGTATAGCTTGAAACCCAGCAATTAATGCTCCACTGACACTCACCGGGGATGTTTTTGCTTCTGCTGTGTGTTCTGATGGCTGCCATTGCAGTCTGACCCTACGTCTGATTCCACACTGGAGGCCAGTGACTGAAACACAAAAAAGCAAGATTTGAGCCTGAAGGGCATCTCACAGCCGACACCAAAAGCTGCCGCATCCAGGCTGCAGATATCCAGATGACCAATAGGTGGGAACAGAAATTGAGTTTCTATATCTTGCTACTGCCCTCTAGTGGCCATGCAGATCAGAATCAGAATAGAACTGGAAGGGACCTTGGAGGTCTTCTAGTCTAATCCCTTACTCAAGCAGGAGATCCTATACCATTTCAGAGAAGTGACTGTCCAGTCTCTTCTTAAAAACCTCCAGTGATGAAGTACCTACAACGTCTGAAGGCACGCGGTTCCACTGGTTAATTGTCCTTATTGTTAGGAAGTTTCTCATTAATTCCAGGTTGCTTCTCTCTTTGATTAGTTTCCATCCATTGTTTCTTGTCCTGCCCTCTGGTTCTTTGGAAAATAAATTGACCCCCTCCTCTTTGTGGTAGCCCCTCAAATACTGGAATACTGCTATCATGTCACCCTAGTCCTTCTTTTCTCTAGACTAGCCAAACCCAAGTCCTACAGCCGTTCTTCATATGTTTTAGTCTCCAGGCCTTTAATCATCTTAGTTGCTCTTTGTACTTTTTCCAAAGTCTCAACATCTTTTCGTAATGTGACCAAAACTAGATGCAGTATTCCAGGTGTGGTCTTACTAAGGCTTTATAAAGCGGTACTAATACTTCACGTGATTTTGATTCTACGCCTCTGTTTATACAAACAAGGATTGTATTAGCTTTTTTGGCTGCTGCAGCACACTGCTAGCTCATGTTTAAGTGATTGTCCACTAGGACTCCAGGGTCCCTCTCACAGTTACTGTTTTTGAGCCAGGTTTTGCCTAATCTGTACTTGTACCTTTGGTTTTTCCTGACCAGGTGTAAAGCCTTGCTTTTCTCCACATTAAATTTCATTTTGTTGGATAGGGCCCATTGTTCAAGTCTGTCAAGATCTTTTTCGATCCTGAGCTTGTCTTCTGGGGTGTCGGCTATTCCTGCCAGCTTAGTGTCATCTGCAAATCTGATGAGTTCCCCTTCAATTCCCTCATCTAAGTCATTTATGAAGATATTGAAGAGCGCTGGGCCTAAGACAAAACCTTGTGGTACCCCAATGCTCATTTCCCTCCATGTAGATGTAGTACCATTAAGGACTACTCATTGAGTATGTTTTGTCAGCCAGTTACAAATCCATCTGGTGGTGATACTGTCTATCCCACATTTTTCTAGCTTACCAAGAAGTAGATTGTGATCTACTTTGTCAAATGCCTTGCTGAAGTCTAGATGCCTACAGTCCAGATCTGCTAGCCCAGTGGTTCTCAACCTTTTTAATGCCGCGACCCCAACTGGTTGTAAGTCGAGGCCTAAACTGGTCGTAAGTCGAGGACTAAACCGGTCTAAACCGGTCGTAAGTCGAGGACTAAACTGGTCATCAGTCGAGGACTACCCAACCGGTCGTAAGTCGAGGACTTTCCCTGCCCGGGAGCGCTGCGCATGCGTGGTTCCGCCCCCTGCGCCAGCTGAGGCGTAGCTGGCAAGCGGCAGAGACGGAGCAGGCCGACCACCAGCTGGCCCAGCCCAAGGGAGGTAAGGCACCCACCGTAAAATGAAAAAAAATGGCGGACAAAAAAAATGGCGGACAAAAAAAATGGCAGACAGCCTTGCTTGGCGACCCCCGTGAAATGGTCGATCGACCCCAAATGGGGTCCCGACCCACAGGTTGAGAACCACTGTGCTAGCCTAAGATGCCAACCTCACACAGCTCCAAGGCACCTGCTGAAGTGACTGATTTATGAAGACCCAAACTGAAGGCATCTGTAAGATGACACCATCTTTAGGGTTTTCCAAGTCTTTAGAGGAAAGTGGCTCTTTGCAATAACTCAGGGAAGGCAAATACTTCCAACCTCCCCCGTTCCTTTTCTTCCTTTTATGTCGTGTTTTTTAAAATACTTAGTCTAATGGCAGGATCTGTGTCTATTTATTTAACTTTACTTATCTAGCTGAAGTGCAGGACATGCTTGCTTTAAATAAATAAACACTTAAAAGAGATAGCCACAGTACTACTCAATTAATAATAAACCAAGTGGGCTGCCAGGGACAAACTTCAGGCTTGTTCAGTTTTTCCAGACTTTGAAAATCCACAAAGTGGGCTCAGAATAATGGCTGTCCAAGGACAAGGCCAGCTCAAGGACAGAGAAAGTCACAGGCCTCCCTCCAACCCTCTACAGACCTATTGAAATGAAATGCTTTCAAAAGACCAATTGAAAATCCTCTCCAATCAGAGTTTAGAGCAGTGTTTCTCAACCTCGGCCCCTTGAAGATCTGTGGACTTCAATTCCCAGAATTCCTCAGCCAGCCTTGACCTCCCCTCAAAAGCAACCTGAGTTCTGAGCTACGATGGTGGCACGCAAACCACCTTGCGGTCATGTGATCACATTTTGGATTCTTGGCAACCAGTTCACCTTCATGGCTGTTTGTAGCATCCAGCAGTCACATGACCATGGTTTTCAATGTGGGGGGTTTTTTTTTGCCAGTTTCCGGCATTTACTTCTGATTTCCGGCAAAAAAACCCCACCATTGGGTAAAACGAATTCAGGTCACAACCGCAGCATTTGCTTAATAATTGCCACAAAAATAAAGGTCATAAAATCTGGTCCCTTGGTGACTCATTTAATGACCACAACTTAGAACCATGATTCCTGGCTCAATTACAATTGTAAGTTGAGGATTACCTATACTGGGAAATCAAACATATTTGCTCATCTACTAAAATCATACAAAGAAGTAGGCATTAATATCTGGCTGATCTCCATATGAAAAATCCTTGTAGATGAGATTCTCTTTCAAATGTTCTGAACAAGAGCTCTTTCAGCAGTTTACCAAAATGTGTAGATGTTCAAAATTTGCATTTAGTGCTCGTTTGTGATAATTCACCAGTGGGCTTCCCCTCAAACCTACTGAGGATCACGTGGCTTATAATCTTTTGACAGCCCTAAATTTCTTGAGGTCTTGAGACCTTCCTTATGTTTTACTCCAGAACAGAGATGGGCAACCTGAAGTCTCAGATCTGCAGGCAGCCTCTGAACATATTTTTGATCAAAGTGGCTGAAAACTGATTGCATCATTTCCTGCCACTATCAGGTGAGAAATATGAGCCTTAACTTTTAAACATCTACTAGCTGAGGGAATGAAGAGCATAGAAAAATATTTTCCCCTTGCCCCAAAATATTCCCTGAGGAAAAAACCTGTCCCCACCAACTTTTTTTCATGCATACGATGCATTAGTTTTCAGAACACCACAGAAATCAAACAATCTCAGTCTTGCTGGGGGGCACACAGAAATTTGTGCCATTCCATTCAAGCAGAAATGTGAGCTGCTGCACTCTTCTGTTCTTCCAAACTCTTTAGAGAAACTCAGCTTTCTAAGTCTTGCAAAGAGTCTCACCTTGGATTGAGGTTTTGCAGATGAAAATAAAAGCAATATTACAACACTTTCCCTTTTGACAAGAAATCGTGACCCACAGACCAACTTAAAGAAAAAGATAGCAATGTTCCGATATTTGAGGGGCTGCCGCAAAGAAAAGGGGGTTAACCTATTTATCAAAGCACCAGAAGGCAAGACAAGAAGCAGTGGATGGAAACTAACCAAGAAGACAGGCAATCTAGAACTAAGGAGAAATTTCCTGAGAGTGAGAACAATTAACCAGTGGAACAGCTTGCCTTCAGAAGTTGTGGGTGCTCTATCACTGGAAGCTTTTCTAAAAAAAGACTGGACAGCCATTTGTCTGAAATGGTATAGGGCAGGGGTCCCCAACCCCCAGTCCATGGACTGGCACCGGGCTGTGGCATGCCAGAAACCAGGCCGCACAAAGAAGCAAGGCTCCATCCGCAGGATGCAGGCAGTACATGAAACCACGTTCCCTCCGGTCCGCAGAAAAATCTCTCTCCATGGAACCGGTCCCTGGTGCTCAATAAGTTGGGGACCTCTGGTATAGGGTCTCCTACTGAGCAGGAGGTTAGACTAGAAGACCTCCAAGATCCCTTCCAACTCTATTCTGTTATTCTCCAATTGGGAACTTACTTCATAGAAAAATGGCTCAACCTTTTCCTTAGACTGGCCGGATAATTAAGGAACCCATTTGGATCGTGGGTTCATTCTCAGTTATGGGCTGTGTTATGAGTGACTTAGGTCTACTCTGAGTAAGATTGAAGCATCCTGTCTTTTATTCTTGCAGTTATGGGAAAATACTATTTGAATACCAATCTGGCAACACCCTGGCTTGAGCTAGCAACAGTGATAGAAAGGAATTGTTTTGCTTCACAAAAGACTGGCCACTGTAGCCATACATCAAACGCCACTACAAAATGGGGCAGAGAACCACAGAGTCCCAGGGGCAGAGAGGCTCCTCTACCTAGGTGATCCTCCCGGCTTGAAAATGATGACTTTCAATTAGAGGGTTTTCATTTGGGACCTGAAAGCTCAAAGCTCTGCATGACAGGAAATTATGCAAGTTGAAATCCAATTGTTTTTTTTCCTTTCTTTGCTCTGAGGACCACACCTGTTTTTCCTTTAGACAATGTTTTTCTTCCATTGGCATCTCCTGGGGTGAGTGTTTTCAGGAAGGCAGAATTGAAGTCTCATCCTTTTTGTAATGCATTAATATTGCATACATGTACAAAGGCAGGGCTGTGATATTGCTGCCGTGACCACCATCTTGCTTTTTTTTGACCCTCCCCTCCCCACAATTGGATGGCAGTGGCTACTTCCCACTGAGCTCTCTACCTTGTGTCTCTAAAGCAGTGTTTCTCAACCTTGACAATTTTAAGGCATGTGGACTTCAACTCCCAGAATTCCACAACCAGCAGGGCTGGCTGTGGAATTCTGGGAGTTGAAGTCCACATGCCTTAAAATTGTCAAGGTTGAGAAACACTGCTCTAAAGAGACCCTGTTTGGGGATACGTTTGGAATTGTGAAATGACACGAGCATCTCACAAACTCATCACATCGTTGCCAGTGACCCGGTGGATACGGCTGGCACCCAAAGACACAATTTGCCTGAAAGTACGCTGTGAAATTGCTTACTGCCACCTTCAACATTTCAGGAATGCCTTCTGCAACCTCAAGTTACCTCTGTCTCTTTTCTAGATCCTTGGTGCTCTCTGAGCTTGGTTGTTTTCTTGCTGACGTTTCATTACCCAACTAGGTAACATCATCAGTGCTAGCCTAGGACCCCCACACTTCAACCCTGAATTACAAACATTCTCCTTTATTGGTTCCACATACGGGCATCAAACGCTTCAGAAAGCACCCAAATGGGAACACTAGCACTGACGATGTTACCTAATTTGGGTAACAAAATGTCAGCAAGAAAACAACCAACTTCAGGGAGCACCAAGGACCCCTCATTTCAACCCTGAGCTACAAATATTCTCCTTTATTGATACCTATGCAAACACCCTAGAGCAGTGGTGGCGAACCTATGGCACGCGTGCCAGAGGCGGCACTCGGAGCCCTCTCTGTGGGCACACGTGCCGTTGCCCCAGCCTCGCCTCCCCCCGTGACCCCCTCACCAGCAGCCCCCCTAGAGGAGAGTCACCCCCGAGCGTGGCCCACACGGAGCAGCACAGCCAAGGACATGGCAGCCAGGAAGCATAGACAAGACTCTGCCCTCATGCCCCATCCCGCACAGTTGATGCTGCGGGGTGCGGGCAAAGGGCGTGGCCGCCATGGCGCTGCTGGGCTGCCTGGGCGATCTGTAGTGGGCCCTGGAGGCGGTGAGTGGCCCTGCGGGCAAGTGGGGTGGGGGACGGGGTGGGGGGAGCAGGGGCGGGGCAGGGGGAGCGGGGGTGGGGCCAGTTTTTGGGCACTCGGTCTCTAAAAGATTCACCATCACTGCCCTAGAGTTCAGCAAATTTTCTTGGCTATGACTGCTTGAGGGACATGGTCATTTTGGCAAATGAAAATGCTGTTGGAGGAGAACTCTTTGTTCTGCGGCATGTCAGCTTCTTGTTTAATTTTTTTTTAAAAAAAAAAACTAAAACATTGCTTTGAAAAAAATATCAGGTGGGGGAAGGGAGTTTGGAGAATGGCAAAAGAAGGCTTCCCGGTCTCTCTGAGTGATTCACTGGCCTCTGTGGGGAACCCAACAAACCCCGCTCAGTATCCCAGGCCCTTGACCATAACCTTTCCTTGATCATTAATTATGAGCTATTTAATCTTAATGGGATACATTTTTCACAGCAGCAAATTCCAGAGATTAAAACCAGTGGGAATAAAGACACTCAGATGTTTAGACTACAAGCAAACTAAAATAAAAATAAAAATGGAGAGGCAAATAAAAAAAGGTCTCAGCTTGCATTTTGGGGGGAGAGGAGGAGGAGGAGGAGGAGGAGGAGGAGGAGGAGGAGGAGGAGGAAGAAGAAGAAGAAGAAGAAAGCATTGGTAAGGTGCTCAGTAAGAAATCAAGAAGAAGTTCCACTGACTTTATTTGATCCTCCAAAGAAATTCCTCAGGTGTTGCTTTGCTGCTGTCAATTTCTCGCCCAGCTGTCGCTCTTTCCTCAAAGATTTGGGGGACGGCAAGCTCCACCCACTTCCTGTTTTGTTCCCTTCCTCAGTTCCCCTTTGGCATGGTGCCCCTTGTTGATCCAAACGTCCTTCACTTCGAGAGCGCCAGAACCCTCCCGGGTCTTGAAGAGGGAGCTGAAGACAGTTGATCACCTCGGTGTCATCTAAGCGAATGCTTGGGGTGGAAGGTTTCTCCTGCTTTTCACAGTCGTTCCTCAACTCCGGATCCTCACAGCTCTGGTGCTGCTTCCGAAGGGTGCTCCGGTGCCATGGCAGGAAGTCACAATCTACGAGGCAACCTTCAGAGCCGCACTTCTGGAGAGGGCTCAACATCTAGATGGAGAAGAACAAAATTTTAGTACCGTGCATATTCCTTGGAGGTACTTGACCATCCACCAAGACAGAACAACAGAATAACAGAGTTGGAAGAGACCTTAGAGCTCTTCTAGTCCAACCCCCTGCTCAAGCAGCAGACCCTACGCCATTTTTGACAAATGATTGTCCAGTCCCTTCTTAAAAGCCTCCAGTGTTTGAGCACCCACAACTTCTGGAGACAAGTCGCTCCACTGATTAATTGTTCTAATTGTCAGGAAATTTCTCCTTAGTTCTAGGTTGCTTTTCTCCTTGATTAGTTTCCATCCGTTGCTTCTTGTCCTGCCTTCAGGCGCTTTGGAGAATAGATTGACCCCCCTCTTCTTTGTGGCAACCCCTGAGATATTGGAACACTGCTGTCATGTCACCCCCAGTCCTAGTGGAGATATTCCTCTTGAGACTGTCACATTGGCTCATGATTCACCAAATAAGAATCCAGAACAGCCATTCCTCATATTAGTGCCTCGGTTATGGAACTCCCTGTTGGATTATTTGTGGCTGGCACTGAGCCTCAAAAGCTTCCAGCACT